AATTCTTTGCGTTTAAAGTACCTGTTGAAAAATTTGCCGCAAAATGTTTGAGCGGAAATGTTATGACAACTTAATAAGTTGACGTTCGTTGGAAATTTTGTTCCTCTAATGGCAACGTTGGACTTACCTGCCGTTGGTTATTGGAAAAAGTATTAACTCATGAAATAAATAGAGTTTCTAGTATATTGTAAGAATTGGAGGAATTTGTAAGTTTTATATTTAAAATGAGGAACAATACCTAAGAATCTCGAGATCCCTTAATAGGGATTTTTATTGTACCTCGTATTTTTGTTACTGATTACATAAATTCGTTGTGGGATTCAAGACGCCTGAGAGATTTACGCAAACATGCGCCCAGATTCTCTCCTCCACCCGGAACAAGTTTATGGCTTAATCTTTCATTTTTTATGTGATACGAATGCCTCATAGTACTTTCTATGTTATATAGATTGTAGAAGCTTGCAGTTTTAGGAATAAAGATGATTGTACAAAAAATTAAATCCAGTTTTATTTGTTCTTGTGATGAATTCGGAATTTAAAACGACTTACGCTTTGAGTTATTCAAAAGATTAAAAAAAACCTCGGAATCGTGATGAGATTCCTTAAATATTTTCAGTGGAAAAATGTACAAAAAACGTTCGTACATTTTTCTACTGAAAATATTAGAACTTGTAACGTATTCGAGGGATTTGTTGAGGATTTTGCTCAGTGTTTAGTAAGAATAACGTCAGTAACAGGAGCGACAATTTGTTTAGCACCGCGTGGCTATTTACATATTGAAATAGCGCCACTGTTGTCAATAGCACGCCTGAGAAGTCTGACTTTCCAATCTAAAGCTTACTCCTAGTTTCGCTCCACTAGTTTAAAATCCCTCGTAAAATCGATTCGGATTGTGATAGTTGAAAACTGCAATAAAACAGTCGTAAACGAAACTGCGACTATTCAGATGATCATATTTTACGTGAAGAAAATATATATGCAGTCTTTGTTTTAAGTAAAAAAAATCGCGTTATAGAGTTTTATCGATACGTATACATATTTCGTTACCTCTCAGTATCAATCTATTTTCAAATGCGTCTTCCTTTACCGTCAAAAAGATATCCGCTTCTTGATCTTCTTTTGCAAATATCAGGCGGTTAAGTGTCAATAAAAGGAACGTTTAAGACCGCACAGCAATACACGCACGTATGGCTTGACTGAAAATCGTTCACGTTTCCCACATTACTAATCCGAATCCCGTTTGTTCGCAGGACTGCGAGTGGCGTACATCGAGCTGATTCTACGCGTGAGTATCGATACATAGCTAATGTAACACACACCACAGGTACACCACTACGTTCCACGTAGAGGCCAGTTGTTTGCAACTCGTGATGTGATTCCCGGTTTTTGGCTGCGTCGACTGGAATCCCTGATGAGGTTCTCGAACTAAATTAAACATGATTGATTACTCCGTCGCAAAATACGAGTAAATAGGCCTACGAGTACGGTGAGTAAACGAAGTACTCACTGCTGTTCATCTCGATACGACCTTCGTTTTGCTGAAAAAGATTTTCCAAAACAAATTGATGCTTACTCAAGCAACTCTAATACTGTATCAACAAATGAGACGCTTAGTTAATTTCGATCCCTTGAGACTAAATCATCTTAGCGTCGCAGTAATTATATCGTTAATTATTTAAAGTAATACACAGGCTTCCATAAATCCATATTCAATTAAAACAGAAGTTTAAGCATAAGGTTCACGAGGTTTTGGGTACAGTTAGCAAGAGAAGTCGCCAAGTAAACAGCTTTACGTTTATAACTTCAAATTGCCGACTTAAGTGCCGAGTATAAAATAACAATTTATAACAGATCTTTGAAATATTTAAGTTCAGTCCCCAAGAAGGAGGAAACTTCAATAAATTTGGTATTAGTTACGACTTTTGTTGCCGATTGTACCAAAGTCTTAATGAGTATTCAGTTACCATACTTACTATTATAGTGAACCGCGTGCGATACATTCTACCCTCACATTTTAAGGCCCCAGTCAATTTCCCAACGTATAGATTACCAATTTCGCTTCGAAGCCAACGTTGGTCCAATTTAACCCCAGCAAATTGCAAAGTTAACATGACCTTTCGGAATATTTTCATTTCAAACGTTTTACAAGTATTTTGAATTACAAAACGTGAGGTGAAAGCAGTTTTTTTAAATAACATTTTATTCAGGCAGTCATTTAAAATAACGGCTCACGTGAATCAACTGAAATAGCTCGAATAGTTTCAAGTCACAACGGGGCTCCTATGATGATGAGCGCGTAGCGTAGCTCAGCTATTGAATTAACTAGTAGACTTTTCCGGGGTTGCGGGGTAAGCGCAATGAGGTACCGCGACCTCGGTACAGAGCAGGAGAAGGAACAGGGGGGTTTTTAGTCAGTAAGAGTCTGACACTCCCTCCTGCCCGGCCCTGGGCGGGAGAAGTCATTTGATGATTTTCCCCTCACAAAAAAAAAAAAACTAGTAGACTTTTTCTCACTGAATTGACGTAATTCGTTACTTGAAATAATACCTATTGATATTGTTTCGAGATAGTTACTATTTAAAAATTATTCAGGCGTTGATAAATAATAGAATATTTTAAGTGATTCCTTTATGAGACAAGGAATAGCCTAAGTAAATTGATCGAGTCGTCGGATGTCAAATACTTTTATGTATCGGGTCGCTGAGCATTTGCTGGGCACAAAAGCTTTTAGTAAATAGGTATCAACGTGTGGGTAGAAATGGGAGAAAAATGCTCCCATACTTCCATTATTTGATGTGTATACGGTTTGAAAGCCTAAATCGTTCGATCTGATCTTTGGATGTTACCCCTTTTTTGAAGACATTTATTGGTACAAGGAAAGCTTAATTTCATCAAATAATTTTGTAGGTACCCACATTTGGAAGCTGATGCTGATGAATTTCCCAACATTTTTATCATAGATCATAATTTCATCAAGGATAATAAAGATTTTTCTTTCTCCATTTTCCGAGATCGGGTCAAGTAACCATCAATTAATAAATATTGTGGAGTAACATTTTTAAATCTTATCTTCATTTTATTTTTAGAGTTTAAGAAAGACTTTTTGCCTATTTTTATTATTCAATTCTAAAATAAGTATTTTGTTCAATATTTTAAAATATAGTTACCTTCTTATCTTTGGTACAGCTTTGATAAACTTGGCTTGGTGGTCGAAGCAGTATTATTATACTTAACTTTTTATTGATATTTATATCGTACTGTGAAAGACCCTTACGTAAAAACCTGTAAAAATCGAAACACAATTAAGTAATAAATATTAACAAAGTATGACTATTATTATCATTATTAATACTAATCTATCTACCACTTTATTTTTTTTTTGTATGTAATAGGTCGGCAAACGAGCAGATAGATTGCCTGATGGTAAGCAATCACCGCCGCCCATGGACACCCGTAACAGAGGAGTTACGAGTGCGTTGCCGACCTTTTAGGGATTAGGGATTTGGAGATTTAGGAACTGGGGAGGGATTGGAAAGGGGAAAGATTGGGCCTCCGGTAACCTCACTCACACGGCGAAACACAACACTGTGCTTGTTTCACGCCGGTTTTCTGTGAGGAGATATTTTTAAAGTATCGTCGTGGAAATACTTTCCTTAACATTCATTACAATTTTTAACAGCCTACTAAAATTGTTGAGACTCACGAATAAAATTAAGATTGCCCTTTATCACTCTGCTAAAGTCATGGAAGTCGGGGTTTCATTTCAGTTTTACGTCTCGGTTATATATTGTTATTGTTGATAAATAACGTACTAACAGGTTGGCATAAACATTCATTTGTTTTTATTGTTGTAATTTAAAATTAATATTATTATTCCTGATGGTAAGCAATCGGCGCCGCTGATAGGGTGTACTACAGAGCAACACCAGAGGAGTGACGCGTGCGTTGGGGATTAGGAATTTGAAGATTTGCGGATTAAGGAGAGATGGGGGATGGGGAAGGATTGCACCTCCAGTAACCGCACTTAGGTATACAGCGAAACACGACGCTGTGATTGGTTCATGCCAGTTTTCTGCGAGTAATGTTTACCGGATTTTCATTAAAGCGTTTGACAAGGAACTAGAATAGTTTCAAGCTTCGTTAAGGGCTCATATTCATGTGCAGCATTGCGCGATACACAACGCGGAAACAAACAAAAAGATGGTTAAGCTTATAATACTTACAGACATATTGTTCCATAATTATTTTTTCTATAAACTTTCTCAATTTTTATGCAAGAACAAATTGAAATTACATCAAAAGCAGCTTATAATCCCCAAACAAATTTTTTATGTATTGTAGGTAAAAGTCCATTGAAAAACAGACTCTCTCACCTTGTTATAGGACCCATTATTCCATACACGTATACTCCCTTTAGTGGAGTTGTTTCTCTTTACTGTTACTTCCGTTGTGCTCTAAAAGGATTTCAACTATTTCCTTTGTATCGCTTTCAGTTCAATTAAAGGCTTTTCATCAATTGAGTTAGTTTAGCCTTTATGCTTCCAATTTTAGAGCAGCTTTTTGAATGAACATTTTGTATGAATGAGGTATATTTTCCGCTGTTTTTACACCGTTACGTCATTAGTTAGAATGAAGTTTGTATATTTGAATATAAACTTTATGTTGGAATCTCTCTAAATCCTAATAATATCTAGCTATTTGAGAAATAAAAATGTTATCTATGGTTACCCAACTTGAAATTGAAATACATAAATAACTCTTCTTTCTATCTGTTCAAAAAACGATATTCATTAGTTAAACAACCACAGCGTTGTGTTTCGCTGTGTGAGTGAGAGTTACTTACCATCACGTAATTCGTTTGCCGATCTATTACATAAAAAAAACCTAGAAAGATTCTAGGTGCAGTCTAAGACTAACCTTTAGAAACGATTCTCTTTTGTCAAAACGTTCCTACACATGTGTGTGTGTGTCATCAGCCTATGAGTACCCACAGTTGAGCAATGGTCTCTTCTCACACGGAGAAGGTATGTCTATTAATCGCCATGCGAGCTCGAGATGAATTGGCAATTTTAATCTTATAATTGAAAATTATAGTCCAGCTTTTCTCACGATGTTTTTCTTCACCATGTTTTTTATTATGGGATAGGTCGGCATCGAGCCTACGGATAACCTTATGGTAAGCAATCAGCGCTGCCCATGATCACATGTGGTAGTATCTAGCAATTACTCCGGTTGCGTGGTATCTATCACTCCAGTTTAGCCGACTCATTTGAGCTTGGGTCATCCACACATTTGTGTAAATGTTCGCTAAATAATCTTAGAAAGTACATATTATTCAGAAAAACTGACATAGGTACTTACCAGGTTTCAGACCCGCATCGCATTAGAAGCGGGTGCCTCAAACCTCCGGCCATCACGACACATATGTGTATGTAACGTTATATGTATACATATATATTAGGAACTCCACATATTTGGGTACCACATTAAGATATATCGCACTACGATCGCGCCTCAGCTATGTTTGTTTCTGCAGAACTTTCGAAAAAAAAATAAGTAAATGTATTCGGTTTTTCTTTCTTTCCCACAATATACTATACATGCAGATGTGATCTTATAATTTATGGCTCCCAATAAAATTGTGCGGTCTACTTAATCGTCATAAATTATCGTAAATAACAACATATTTTTGGGATTATTTTTCTCTATGTTGGAACTTATTTCTGGAAAGTTTTTCTAGTTCAAGGCTTTTGGCTTATTAGCTGTATATTACGAAGTATTACTAGTTCTTTATTTAACCTCATTTGTTGTGATCTAATCTAGTGTGTAATATTTATAAATTATGACGTTATTGTTGAGGGTGCAAGCGCAATGATGAGCTGCGGTCCAGTTCGGAACAGGAAAGGAAGCTAATTGGTTTTTAGTCATTAAGCGTAGGTACTGTAACGGTCCTTCGCGCCCAAACATGAATAATCTTTTTTGAAAATGCAGCTATAGAAGCTATACAGTCAGTACCAGAATGGAATAATAGTACCAAAATGGAGTAATAGAATGGAAATGAGGTTTTATTTCATTTTGTAATATGTACAAACATCATACCTTCGACTAAACATTGGCAATACAATTTTCATACGTTCCTCGAGTCACCACTTCAGGCCAAAGTCATCAGTTCCCAACAGATGGGGTTAACTAGGGCTGATGCTGAGCCGATGTTGCGATGCAAGAAGCTCGAAGCAGAAGCATCATGGTGGTTTTAGACAGTAACGCATTAACGCTCTTTCTCGATACACCCAGGGCAGGAGAAGTTATCAGATAATTCCTCCCCTTCCCTTTAAAGAAAAGATAAATACTACATACTTGAATTATTCTTGGAAAAACTAAGGACAGCCCAACTAGGTAAGTTACGTACTTGTTAAAATATCACAAGGTTATTTTGTCAAGTTTCACCACTTTGATGTCATCGTAAAAAACGAAGTTCTGCTATAAAGGATCCATTAAAACCGCTTCACTAGTTTCCTTTGGCTACAAAAGAAAAGTTTCTTAAGTATTGTGTTTTTTAGGCCCACCGAGTAGACTAATGGTGGGTAGTTCTAATATTGTATTGGATCGCAACTGGTTACGTCTTGCGAGTTAATCTTAGGAACATCGTGATAAAATTCAATATAATCGTCGAAGGAAAAAAATGACATAATATTATTCAATCTGACCCGAACTAGGAATTAAACTAAATTAAGTCAATAAATATAAATAAGCTTTTATAATCACATTGAGTTTTCTCGTATTTTCAAACATCGCATCATTGGTTGAATTTATCCTGTTTCGCTTTTAGTCTAACAGGGCCGATGTTAGCTGAACATTTTTTTTATTAATAACGATACATAATAGTCCAACAGCTATGCACAAAACAGTAATCCACGCTAATCTCTATAACATACATATGTAGAAACAGTGTGATCCATTACAATTTCAGCTGTCGGTCAGAAATCATCCTGTCGCGAATGTTCGTTGCGACAACGTCACGGTGACGTTGACATTGACATCGCGTATTGACGTTACACTGTACGGTAAACGTCAAATGTTAGATGTTACGAACGAACCCAGCACTTATATGTAAGTGTTCAGCAATATTTATAAAAGTTTTTTGATCGAAGTGCCTGTCAAATGGAAACGACCACGACCAGAGTACTTGTATCATGTCTCCATACTAGAAAGATACTCCTATCAATAGTAATAGTCTTCGTATCGAAACTTCTGATTAAGAACCCTACATAATATTAACTATAGGAAATATATATTAATGAACTACCTTATTAAACCAACGTAGGCGGATCTTAACCTCTTGTCTGCCGGTATATGAGACACAATAGAAAACACATTGTGTCTCGCGTATATCCACGCTCACCTCGGGGTTAAAAGAACGTTCAGTTCGAGTTTGCTTTATATAAAAAAAGTACACGTTTATGACGTTCGACGCTCTGATTGGACAGCAATGAGGTAACCCACCAATCAGAGGATTAGACGCGTTAAAGTTTTGTAAATGTAAAGCGAAATCGATTCGATTTTATTTAAAGCATGTATCTTCTGGATTAATAACATATTTTTTTAATTAAGCGCACAGCTCGGGTGCGGTTGCAAAGCCTCGGGCGAAAGCTAGTTTAGCAATCAAACTGAAACAAACTGAAAAACGTTACAACTTACATCTCACTATAAAACACCAATAACACGTCTGTCGTTCTCACACATAAAACATCAATCCAAAACTCGGTAACTAAAACGAAACTTTATTCCGAGTCGACAAAATTAATTGGCTCAACTTATTTTCCAGTTTATTCTGCTCTGCATACTGCAGTAATTAATGTACGCTTAACTTTCATTTAACTAAAATGTTAGCAAGATTGTTAATTTTCACATCAAGCGGTTGCATCTTGAACATTAGCCTTTGGATTACGATGTATACATTCCCTTTTCTGAAGTTTAAGTTCATTATCTTTATACATTGTTGTTGGATCTTAGTTAGCTTTATTGTTTCCACCGGGATCTGGATGTGTACCCCATATGTAATGTTTTGTTAACAATGAAACTGAGTATGTTTCATTATTTTTTCAAAATTTTTAGCCTCTTCTTTGTTATCTGTGTTGGCAACTGATTATTGGTCAACCAGTACCTGATACGTAAGAACATTGTGGAGTCATTATTCATCGCATCCAAGTTCTTTAATATCAGAATTAAGAACAATATTTGGAAATCTTCCCAAAATATGTATTGATCTTTTTGGGAAGGGATCCATATATTTATGATCCTTTCTTGAAACTGTTAATACAAAAGTATTGAATCAAAATTATATTTATATTGTGCAGCTTTATAGCGTTATTTACTGATTTTATCTACTACTGACTTTGTGCCACAGATTTCGTTAATACATCATCTATTCTTTACCTAATAACAAGCGCTTGCTTTTGATTGCCTTTCAGAACTCCATTCAAAGAAACAATAGACAGTTGATCATTCACGAGGTACTTTACCAAAACCATAAAGATTAAGATACAGAAGAAATTATCAGCAGATGCTATTTCTATCCTTATTATTTTGGCAGGTAAGTTTAATTTTAAACTGAATGATAATGATGAATAACGAGGTACTTATAAACATTTAGTCGCTATCAGGAGAAAATACTGTTCCCTTTGTTAAAGTAGCTATAAAGTTAAATAATTTATTATTCTTTGCTGAATCTCGACCTAAATCTTGGAACGTCTTTCTTAAATGAGGGGTATTTAGTATGTATGTACTTTAAGCTTTTAACGCTCTTTGAATAGGAATTATCCTGGATTTTGTTAGTCTCCTAACTGGCTTGTATTGTGCTATAGATGACGCTTCGTCTTCGATCTTTCCTGGGATTAATAGACGTGAGATAATGGCATTTATCATCTCTTTCCGTAATACCTAGAGACTTTAGCATAAGATCTCAGTTGTAATTTCTGAGTATAAAATAACAAAGGAATTTTGGAGTATTTGATTCTCTCATTCTCAGATGCCTGGTGGAATTCGGACGATATTAAAGGACTGCTGAAAGAGAATCCAAACAGGAATATGCAGTACCTATTTACCTATATTTCTGTATTTGTTTTCCCTATGTACTTGGTGTGTATTGTGCATAATTAATAAGTAAAGGTGACAAAATTGGGTTATGTGTGTGTAAAGCAAAAGATAGATAGGCTTATCCCCTAATTGCCCCACTTCAGACTATAAACAAAACTGTTGAAATTTTATTGTTATGTATGTTTGTAGGTATACATATATAAATGTTTTGGTTAAGACATAGAGTTTAACAACGCTGGGATAAATTTTGCCTATTTTGTGTTATTTTTTTGTCAGGTAAATTTGGAAAGTACCGTCCCTCTTGTCGTTAGCGAGGTAATTTGACGCCCATACCAGGCAAGGCCGAATCGCTAGTCTTGTTATAAAATTCACATACAAATTAAACATAAAGTTTTAATATTATTTTTAATCCTACGGGCAAAGAGCTTCTTTGTGACAAGACTTCGATCAATAAACATGGTCCAATCATTTACTGCATTGCCTCCCACTTGATATTTATCTTCAATAAATCGTCATGGCTCATTCTGAATGGTTCATTACACACTAGAGTTCCTTGCCCGTTCCAATTCAAATAGAGTTTATTCTTAGGGTTAATAAAAACGTTCATAACTCGCATTTATGGCTGCGTGTGCGGTGATTAAGTAACCAATATAGATGCTATAAATTTATTTGTATAGGTAACTGTGGTACTCTGTGGACCAATATTTTGTATGTAAAGTAAAAATGTCTTACAGTAGCACTTTTTCGTTATAGCTTATGTTTTTTTGGGAATGTATTTGTGCTTTTTAGAGCCTTATGAAAAATATCGTTGGGGAAGACTTTCTTCTATGCCGGGGGCTCATTTAAAACCATTTAAATTTACATATATACATACATTAATTCGATACATGTAAAAGATATCACTATAGTGGTATCTCTTTCCTTTTGTTATTGCCATACATTATTAGCTGCCAATGTCATGTGAGTGATTTATGGTCGATGTCAAATATTTGATGGTAAAAGTTAGGTTATGAAAAAACGTGGATAATATTGTAAAAAGAAATACTATAATTGTTATACTATATTAATTAATCTACAAGTAAAGGTTTTAAATGTTGTTTTTTGTTATTTCAGAAAATGCAATTTCGTTTTTATTTCGCCTGAGCCTAAACTATTATATACACTTAGAACCGAAAACCATTCAACCTTATTACGTTTTAGTACTGTATATTAATTGGAGCACATTAATTGATTATTATCTATAAACATAATTCATGTTTTCTCATTCCTATCCGCTTCGTTAGTAGTTAACAGAAATTACGAACTGAAACAACAACTTCAGCATTACTACCATAGTACCGAGTTGTGGTCAAACTTTCTACTACATTTTAAAATACAAATCCTTTATAATTTTATTACATACAATAGGTACATAATTTGATCATAATTGGTCCTATCACACTTAATTTCAAACTTTCCTTCGTTTTTGTTTGTGTATGTAGTAAGTTTTGCAAGACGTACCTTTATTATGGAATAGGTCGGCAAGCGAGCAGACGGATTACCTGATGGTAAGTAATCAGCGCCTCAGCGCCGCCCATGGACACCCGCAACGGAGGAGTAACGAGTGCGTTGCCTTTTAGGAATTAGGGTTTTAGAGATTTAGGGATTGAGAGGGATCGGGGACTCACACGGCGAAACACAACGCTGTGGTTGTTTCGCGTCGGTTTTCTGTGAGGCCGTGGTATCACTCCAGTCGAGCAGACCCATTCGTGCCGAAGCTTGGCTTCCCCACACTTACCTACTTACCTTATAGAAAATAATGACTTAATTACATAGGATAACTGAGTAAATCTTAGTTTCAAGTCACAAAGAGACTTAAGATTACGAGAATCATACGCGCTGCGGCATAGGCACGCGGGCGACGGGCGGGGTCAGGTCAGTCGGCTGCATCTGTGCATTATGATGGCACTATAATAAATGTATGAAACCAATATGCTACAGGTACGACACGGCACGCTACGAAACTCTTCGACACATGAGTATGTGTCCACCTTGCAATACTTCACCATAGACTTTGAAATCATCATTCACATGTTACACATCACAGCCCATCATTAGCTTATAAGTGCCCACTGCAGAGCACAAGCCTCTTCTCACACGGAGAAGGTTTTGAGCATTAATCAAAAGGCTTACTCAAGGCGGATTGGGGATTTCAAACTAATAAAAAGAAATTAGTTCAGGATATATTCCTTCCCCGTATGTCAGTGGTGTCTAAATCATCATAGTAAAGTACTTATAACTCGGCAAAATTCACATTGGTACTTCAAGGTTTAGAACCCGCACCAACATGCTCGAAAAGCAGGCGCTTTAAACCCCGGCACCTGACGAAGAAACAAGCATTTACACATGTGCACACTATAATTTTACCATAAAACAATGTTGTCAACCAAAGCAATGTTGCTTTTAAAATTTCCTATGTGGAACGATAGATCATACAAAATTCAAAATGTAACTTAATTCTGTACGACTGCGAAAGTCTTCCATGTACTTTTCAGCATTTTATGATGTTAGTAAGTACTATGTTGAATTCATAAAATGCACTTTATTTATATTATATGTAAGTATTCTATAAAACAACATGAACACTCAGTAGTAAACGTGTAAAATGAGGATAACCTAAAAAAAAAATCAGCAGACCCTCTTTGCTAATGGTTTAAATTGTTTTTATTCCCTCCTACTTTACTAGTAGTAGAAAAAGGTGTAATGTTTGTTTTCTTTAAGTAACACCAGATGTTACTTATGATTTACAGCCATCAAATCACAATCACAGTAGGACCAATGTCCATTTTAAGTTGGGTGCAAGCGCAACAAAAAAAAAGAGGTGGTGAAGTAAAGGGTGGCTTTTTGGTCCGGAAGAGTCTGATTGAGAGGGCCACTCTCAGCCAAAAAAATTTTTTTTGGCTGAGAGCCTTTGTTTTCCAGCTCATAATAATCATTTTCAGCCGAAAGAGACCTGATTACGGTTGATAATGATTATTAAACTCTGGTAGAATAACTAACAACCCTATCACTAACATGAAGTAACGCGTTCAAAACGATACGATTTCATAAGTTGTTATCCATAGATTTTCTTCATTTCTCAGTTTCAAACTAAATAAAACCTATTTATCAATTATCCCTATACGAGAAAGAATAGAGCGTACAATTCTTCGTCCCGAGACCGATACATCAAAATAAACAGCACCGTCAAAGATTTCGATTCGTTTAGCCGAGAATTTTATTTGTCTCGACCTTTTATGTGCTTGTCTAGATAAATTTGTACACATAGTTCTTTATATCATGTAAATTTTGGAACATCGGGATGTATGAGAACGTTTTATTAATTTGAATAAGGATCTTTTTCGCAAGTCATATTATGTTTCGATTTTGGAATGTTTGCCATTTTTTTCTTCACAAACAATTTTCCACATATTTAATTTACAGACCTATCTTTATATTATACACGGGTACTAGACAGTGTTGGCACTAGGCAAAGCCTTAAAAATAAAGCCTTTAAGAGTGAAAATACTAAACAATTTTTTTATTATTGTTACAACTACCGTCTCCATAAAAGTAAATCCCTCATTCGTCAATTTTGAAATCTTGTAATTATCAAATCATTTTATGGAGCTATCATTTTATGGGCGTACAGGGACCGCGAATTTTCGTTCACTTCAAATCGTAAAATAGATTTTATATCCTGTTGAGGTATAAAACGTTCATAACATTACGATGTAGTTACAATGGCTGTAAAACATAAAATCGAAAGCAAACCGATTTATGGAACTTGATAGTATGGCTGCAGAAGTTGCTGTTTTTAAAATATAGCTTATTAAGATTGATGTTGTAAAGCTGAACTAAAGTTTCTGTGGAATTTGAAATAAATAATTCCAAATCTACAGGCTAGTATCGAATAAAAAGCTGGCGATGCACCTGCTGCTCCTCTTGTTATGTTGCTTACAAGCGTCATCAGAGTTTCATGGTGAGACTAATCTCACAATGAAACTCTGATCTCTTTCTCAAAACTTCCTAATAGAGCATAATATATGTATATCTGAAGATCATTCTGTCCCTTCTTACTTTATTTATTGAGAAAAGCTGCACTAGTACGTTCAATCAATTTCGTACGTCTTAGGATAACAAAAATACACCTTTATACCTTAAAAAAAAAATATAGGAATCTTCGCAACTCATTCTTCATTCTTACACTTTTTTTTTGTTTTTCTCTATAAAGCTTTGCTTGTGTTCACCTCAATTTGAAGCACTTACTTGACTTAGAATCCATTCGTCTATTCTTAGCTCGTCTCTAACATTTTAGCGAAACCTTAAAAAGACAAATGGGTGTCTCATTACTATCGCCACTCCTGGTTCCTTAGTTATATGAAATTCTTGGCGTGGCGCCTTAAGATACCGTACTAGTGCTTTCAATCTACCGAGGGATTACGGTTTCGCTGCAACATTGCGGTTGGGGTGAAATTAATACTAGACTTAAGGCAATTTTGCGAACATTGTAGTTGATAATACGCGTGAGGAATAGTTTACACGTGTTTCTAATAGTTTTGAGAAAACGTGTTAGTTGTTTCATTAGGATGTTTTATTTCGTTGTATGTTGAGCTTTTTTTATGTGATAGGTCGGCAAACGGGAGCTCCAGTAACCACACTCACACGGCTAAACACAACAAAAGTGTTGCTTCACTCCGGTTTTCTGTGAGGGCGTGGCTGATAGGTCATCATAACATTTAGTCAACATAACTGGAGGTCTTCGATCGTACAGAGGATATAAAGACATAACATTACACAATTTTACTATATCTACATACATATACATATATACTTACAAACGGCGTATTGCTTCAAAAATGTATTCATACACAACATATGGCCGCGTGTCCACGATGTCGGCCCAAAAATGATCTTGCAAAAGTTCGGATCGACCTACATTACTGCGACACATGATATGAAACCAGAATCCATAAGCCAAACAACTGTCAAAAACCTTCCATGAAAAATAAATATTTATACATTTATACATACTACTTTATTTTCATACTGACTGTCTTATTCATAAAAGAATAGATGACTGATTAGTTCGATCACTATGGTAGACTTAAAATTGAGTAATTAAAAATGTTGTTCTTAGAAGTCGTGGTAGCCCGGAGTTTAAGTCTACTAAGCTTCTCATGCATTAGGGTGCTGGCTCGAACCTGGAAGGTATTAATGTGACTTTTCCGAGTTAAATGTACGTGACGTGACGTAAAATTAAGGAAAACACCGTGAAGAAATCTAGATTTATAATTTCTAATTATAAGATTGATCGCCAATCCACCTTGAGCAAGCGTGGTTATTAATACTCAAATCTTCAGCGTGTGAGAAGTAGCCTTTGTTCAGTAGAGGACACTTATAGGCTTATGATGTGAAACATGTTATGGTACTTTTGATCGAATGTAAGATGTATATAGGACTAGTCAATAGCTTACCTACCGAACTTGGAACTGTGGAACTTTAAAACCTTTATAATAGGGAATTTGGGTTTTGCTCCATCAATTGAATATTCACTGGCTATTACTCCAGATTACACTTCATACAATCCATTATAATAACACATTGAGTCATAAAATTGTGTTATCGCACAGATACAAACATTAGGCAAAAGCACCAGCAACCATTAGATTTCAGGAACCGCCGTTCGCGTCCATTAGAACAACAAACTACATTATATTTGGTTGGCAAAAATAAATAAATATTGTTTAAATAAGCCGTAAAATGTTGGATATGAATATTTTAGCATGAGTCTACAGAACGTGACGGTTTCATTTGAATATTTTTATCTTTAAAACCATGCTTTAATGGGCGTATAAACTTTAGGTCCAACGTTTTAATTCAAAACAACGAGGCACTGATATTTTTACAACTGACCTACATTTTGTTTTTCGTATTTAATTCATACATAAGCTAATAGATATTTTTGAAGTTTTACATTTTTACAATCTTTTGATGTTAGATAAAATTTTATGGGCATTTTTTAATTAAGAGATGTTTTGAAAAGGCGGACATGATTTTTCAGTTCATAGGTATTGATATTGTTCGTCTATACAGGGTGTCCGGTTAAGAATGGATAACCTTGAAAAGCCTTTGAGTATATCTTATGGCCATTCAGAAATAAAAACGAAAAGGAAAATATCATAAGTAGTACCTAAGTTATGATTTCTTGAAATAGAAGAACTGGTGCTAGAGGAAATAGAAAATGATCCTTTAACATTCACGTACGCACGCAAAAATAAATTATGCATATTTGTCTAAAATAAATTAATTTGCAAGTTTTTTTATAAAATCTTTTATTTTGTAATTTTTTGTTGTGTATTTTTTGATTGGTCATAAAATATACTTAAAGGCACTTCATATCCATTCTTTACCGGACACCCTGTATAGATAGATCGTAAATGGAAAATGTCTTGTTATGCTTCAAAAACGGATCAAAAGGGAATTAGAAAATGCTGCACCCCCATTCCTGTGGTATTTGTTTCCATCCGTTTCGCAGCAAAACCGAAAATTTGTGACAAATGACACGTTTAAATTGTCACTTTCTGACAAATGGTGGCCGCAGCGGGACGCATTTGACATTATCAATGGCTTTTATGACGTTTCGCGTAGTCAATCTTTTACTCGAAAAAGTTATACTTTGCGCAGAAATGATCCATTTTCGTTGGACAATAATTGCTGAGTCACGTTTCATGTACGAACTCTTTCAAGCGAAAACTCCTTGTTTGATAAAATATCTAATGTGGCTATTACTTTTCTGTCTATAATAATTAAATATTTTAGCTTCATTAATTTTCATCAACATTATCCACTGTTTTTACTATAGTTAAAACAAAATTTTGTTTTAACGTTGTTTACACTTGTATTAAAACAACACGGCTGTTTTTCCTCGAAGTACTGTAGTTATATTAGATGCGGCTTTTTATTAATCTAAGGCATGTTATAGTGGTGAAAATAGTATAGTGTGTAACACTCTCTTGAGAATTAAAGATAAATCCCTTTGTGACTTGAGACTACTAGAGCTTTTCTCATGTAATTCA